GAGTATGTGGCAAAAAGGACACGATATAGAATGATCAGGAACGGAGTAATCAGACGAAAGTCTACTTGCTTCAGGACTAAAGATACCTGGGACATGCCACAGGATGAAATGCTAAAGAAGTACGGTTTTGTGAAAAACTTCAAAACCACAGAGCTGGGCTGCAAGAAAGAATGGAGCCAATAATCCATTGCGCTTGCAACCGAAAGACATGCTATTCAGTGGTATACGGACGGTTCCAAAACCATAGAAGGAACTAGAATAGGAGTGTATGGGCCGAGAACCAAGCACTCCGAAAGCTTGGGAAAATACCCAAGCATCTTCCAGGCGGAAATTCACGCCATCGAGAAGTGTATCCAGTTTAACATCGAGAGACACTATCATAGACAATAAATTATTATCATGTCCGATAACCAAGCAGCCATTAAAGCGCTGAGCTCTTCTGTAATCAGCTCAAAAATGGTCTGGAGATGCCTAGAACAATTGAATGAGCTAGGCGAGAAAAATAGAGTTACTCTCACTTGGGTTCCGGGACATAACGTTGTGCAGGGTAACGAGATTGCAGATAGTCTTGCAAACATTCTTTGTAGGATCTGAGCCGTTCTGCGGTATCAACAGTAACATAATATTAGGAGAGATTAAAAAAGAATTGGGCAGTAGAAGAACCGATAATTGTAACAATTTCTTGGGGCTGAGACAGGCTAAGATACTTCTGGGTGAATATAACCAGAAAAGATCGGAAGCCTGTATCTGCCTGAGCAAGAACAGGCTACGTATTGTAACAGGGATCCTTACCGGGCATTGCCGACTAAAAGGACACCTTAGTAAACGGAGAGTACTAAAGGATAGTGAGTACAGATTCTGTGAGGAGGAGGAGAACGAAACCTCCATTCACATTCTAACTGAATGTGTAGCACTCCAAAATCCAAGGGCACTATACCTAGGAGGATATCAAATAGAAGAGGGAGATTTACCTAACTTGAAGCCACTCCAAATCCCACACTTCCTTGAGAAGATAGGATTGGAAGGGTCGTTATAGGAATTGAGACATTTCCTTGGTGTATACGCGACAGAAGGGGGCGCAATATATCTTTTAGGCCGCAGTGCATTAACACCCCATTCCCAACATAACATATTAAACTAATGTAAACAAAATACAAATAAGAAATTAACATAAAAGCTTTATTTTTTTACTACGGGGTACTCCCGGTTACCGGGGCTTACAGAGTTCACATACCAGTACAGACTCACTGTTGTCACTGTCTATGCCCGCACAAGAGTTGTGAGCCCACTTTTTGCACTGAAGGCATGAAATCCAACTTTCAAATGAAATTGAATATTGGTTGGTCATTGCAATATAAACATAAAGCGTCTTCCTCCTCCTCAGACTCCCCAGAGTTTTCTTTAATTTTTATTTTTTGCTTTTTTGGCATAAACATTTCCTCTGTTCGTTTTTTCTGTTTCTGACCAGACAACTTATTCTTAACTCTGTTTTTTTATGCTTCCTTAAACTGATTTGTTCTGACAGTTCTTTTTGATAAGGAGAGAATGTAAGATCTGTGGTTTTGCCTCTTTTTTTTTGCACGCTTTTAACGGTGGTCTTTACTTTGGGTATAATTACTTGCGGAGAAAGGGCTGGAAAACTGGAGTTGTTAGGTGTTTTTATTGATGCACTCGAAGGGTCAGTCATCCAGGAACATTTCGGTAAAGGGTTATTTTGAGTTTCGGTTCTATTTTTTATCGTGAATTTGGGAGATGAGGTCGAGAAATCCTTATTTTCTGAAGTTTCATCGATTGTAGGACCAGCTTGTGGTTCAGAATCATCTACCGGAGTAGAATAGGCTTATGTTTCGGGCTGAGGACCGGTTTATGCTACAGCATTGGAAATATTAGTTGTCTTGGCTGGTAAAAAGTCACCATCAGTGAAGGTATCCTCATTTGTTCTTCAAATCCCCGTTTTCTTGAATCCCTTTAGCGCATTTTTCATGTTGCCCAAATAAGGTTGATATTTGAAATAAAGTAAGGACTTTACCTCGGTTTGACCGCAATCATTTTCGCACTTTGTCTTCGTCACATCTAAAGGCCGGAGTCTGTGCGAACAGTGAGATAAAAAGCACAATAAAATAACACCATGTTCACAAACTAGATCGACTACTTCAAGGTTTTTGGTGTGAGATGCATGCCCATCAAAAAGTAAAAGGATAGGAGGTTCTTTTTTTGCATTAGAAAGTTTAATAAACTTTGTAAACCACTTTAGAAACACTTCTACAGTCATCCATCCTGAATTATTAACATCAGCCCAACCACCAGGTGGTAAACCTAATTGAAATTCTTGTTGTTTCTTTTTTGGGAAAAAATCAACATTGAAGGCATGAAATTCGCCGCAGCAGAACAACAAATTTCGGCCGTTACCGTATTTCCACGCTCGACAGAAGTCAATACGCCAATTTGACGTTGTCCTCTATTTGCAATAATTCTTGATTGTTGCTTTAGAATTACCGTAATACCAGTCTCGTCGCATTTATAAATTCTTTGCCCAGTAATCTTCTTTTCAACAATAACTTCATTTAACAATTGTAAAAAACTGTGCGACTGCTACTCTGTTGAACCACATTGCACGCGCTCCTGAAGTTACTTCGGGCTTTCTCAAGCTTAATTCCGAATGGTGCCTCATGAAACCTTGTGCCCAATATTTCCCTGCCATTTTTGTCTCGTTATTAAATGGATGTCTGCAACCATTTCGTTTCGCTAGTTGATAGGCTAACCTTTTTAGTTCTTTATTTGTTAAACCAAACAGTGTCTTTTGCATATCCTTTAAATACGAAACGAGTTCTAACGCTTGATTTTTAGTAAAAACACATTGATATTTGATAGTTGTTTTGTCAACCACATAATTCAGAACATCCTTGCAATTTTTAACCGACTTCAGAAAAGGAAGAGGTTCTCAATTCGTTTTTATGTATATTCAGCGATAATTCTTTGACACGGTGTCCGATTTCTATGTTTCGTTTATTGTTAGTAAGGGGGTACCTCAGGGGTGGCCTCATAAAAATTTGGTTAAGATGTGGTGACGGCATCTGCACAATTTTGAAGTCGGTTTTTTAATATTACTTTTAATACTTGTTCACTTATCTTTCTAATGTAGTTTGCGGAACTTCAAGCTGGTTTAAAGCTTTTTGGAGGCCCATTAAGCCTCTAATAACCGCATCTACTTCTAGTTCCATGGATTTAGTACTCCACTGCTGTCTAGCGGTTTTTTTAACATAGTGGCGAACCATTTGAAAATAACAAAAACTGAAATTTAGATTGTTGAATATAGCCAGGGTAGAATGAGGAATGCCCCATCCTGCCCCACCCTATTCTGCCTCAGATGCTTTTAATAACAAAACATTACCTTTCGCCAGACTTCTTTACCAATATCTTGAAGAATATATATTTAAAGATAACTAAAAACATGCCGTGTAAGGTAAAATAAACAAAAACTCTTAAATCAAATCAATAATTAACTTAGTTTGTGTTAAAAATGCCGAAAAGTTATACAAACATAAACAAATTCACCACGTTTAGTTGAAAACACTGGCAACGTTTGCAATCAACTGATTGTTGTTGCCAGATGATGCATGGCGTTCTAATAAATGATAACAGAGGGCGCTAGTAATACCAGATGCCCGGTGAGGGAAATTTCAAACCAATCCCGTTCTGCCCTGGTACCCCATTGCTCCCCGGTGTCCCCTACAGTGTTTTAAATATATGACATTTACTGACCTCCAAACAAAAATCCTCAGTTGTTTCTTCTCCGACTTTTTTATTCTCCTTATTTTTTTTTAACTTATTCTTATTTTCTTCTTATTTTCCTCGAGTTTTTTCTTCTTCTGTAACTATATCTTATTTGTTTGTGAAAATCTTTTACTTGTTGTATCCTGATATTCTTTGCTTCTTCCTTTTCTGTTTGTTTTCAAATTCCTGAAAAATGTTTTTATTTCTGTGGTACTTTGACCATATGTCACTTGAGTATATTCTAGGGTTACAGTGCTGATTAAAATTTACCTTTCTATTATTTTGTTTGTCTTTGGTATAGTTTATTTTATAATCTTATTAATTTGTATCCTTTCTTAGTTATTTCCTTGTTTATTTAGCCCTAATTTGTTATTCACTGCTTAAATATGCGTATGCTGTTACTAATTCAAACTCGTCTTCTTGATTTTTTGAATATGTTAGGTATTATGCTCATTGATTCACAAAAATCAATATTTCATTTTCATTGCAAATATTGAAAAACTGTAGAACGTGAATGATTACCAAGATTTCAGTACAATAAAGATTTTAAAGTTGTTGTAAAGATAGGTACCACTGGGTTATTGATAGGCCAGGCTGAGGCGCAAACTAAACACCTGTACTGATAAATTTTACACCAAGACTACCTCTGCATCCTTAATTCAACATCAACATCAACCTTAGCAGGATTCTTAAATCCTAAAAAAAGATTAGTCGACTAGTCGATTAAACGATTAATAATAAATTAATAATCGAATAATAATCGATTAATAATCGATTATTAATCGATTATTAATCGATTGATAATCGATTAATCTATTATTTTGGATTACAATGAATTTTAACTTAAGGATTATTGGTGTGACAATTAACTGTGCCCCTTATAAGTGTTAGGATGCATAAATTAGTCTTCTAAAATCTTTGAAAGTCTGGGAATTTGCCCGTAAACATATGTTTGCCATCTTGAAATAATTACATAAAAAATAAATGTTGCCTTTTTGAGAATATTAAACGATTTTTCTATCAAAATACTTATAATATTTTCTTTTCGATTATAAAACTTATCGATAATTTTTGTTTCAGCTGAAAGCGACATCGGTTCCTTCGCCATCATCAAAAGCCATTTCACTGCCAAACACCCCCTCGATTCAGGTCTTTTCACTGCCGAAACTCGCCCGTTGGCGTTACGAAACCTCTATGAAACTGCCACGAAGACGCCCGTCAATCTTATGCGTCAGCTCGACAGATGGCGTCGCGATGGATACAGAAGTTCGAGGTTCTTCCTTTGCACGCCGGTTCTGGGAGCCAAAAGGAGGAGGATCAAGACGAAGGTAGACATCGACATCGAAACTAGCATGGTAAGTACGAAACGGATGTTTATTTTATGTTTATCCTAGAAATATTTTATGCTCTCTTAGCTACAAGAGATTGTTGCAACTGTCATTCGTTTATTACCAATTTAAGTCCCACAAAGCCTGTTACCATTGCGTTACGTATTCCGTTAACTATATCAATTTCTGGAACTACAGCTGAGAGATCATTTTCTGAAGTAAACTTAATACTTATGGTCTAGAATAGATCAGAAGAAATTAGAAAATCTGGCTATCACTTTTATAGAATTTCACTTTTTAAAGCAGCTGGATATTGAAATTAATGAATTTCCCAAAATCAATGCTAAAAAGTTCAGTTGTTTAGATATGCACACAACCAAACTTATATGGAATCATCTATTATTTTTTCATAATTTTTGAGATGTATGAATATTTTTTGTTTATAAATAAAAAGAACTCAATCCTTGCCAAAGACTTTTAATAACAAATAACCCACACAGCAACAAAAATAATTAATTTTTAATAGCCGAAAAGCAAAAACAAAAAGAAAATTGTTAATTTTAACAATCCGTGTTACCACCTCTAGCCCTTATGCAAGATTCTATTCGCCTTGGCATGCTTTTTAGTAAATTGTCAACATTTTCTTGTGGTATGTTTTCCCATTGTGCTAATGCTGCATCAATAAGCTGTGTGACATTTCCTGCATTTTTCTAACCCTTCTTTTAAGCTGGTCCCACAAGTGTTCCATAGGATTTAGATCTAGTGTACATACAGGCCAGTCTAAAACTGTGACACCTTCAGTTGCAAGACATTCTTTAGCCACCCTGCTGGTATGGGGAGGTGTATTATCATACATAAAGATAAAATTATCCCCAATTGCAGCTTTCCAAATCCTAATGATTGTTTCTAGCACTAAATCAACATACCTCAACCGGTTAAAGTTTGTTGAAGTGGTAACAATGGAGTTTTGCTCCCAGCATAATACCTCCCCAGAACATTAAAGTTTCTCCTTGATATCTTGAGACAGATCTGTCAGCGAGGATTTTCACTCATCTTCTTGGAGCTCTAAGAACCCGAATTCGATGGACATTTGATCTTAGGCTAATTATGGTCTCATCCGAAAAGAGAACATTTTGCCAATTCTCAATTGACCAGTTTTGGTGATAAAGGCACCAATTTAGCTGGTCAATTTTATTTTGCCTAGATAACGGTGCGACCCGTAAATCTCTCCTACTGTACAACCCTCGAGCGCGAAGTCTTTTTCTTAGGGTTTCAACTGAAACGTTCACACCTGTAGCTTCCATAAGTTGTCGTTGTAGCTCTGGATGAGAAATACTGGGATTTCTTCTAGCAATTTGGCACAAAAAGTGGTCCTGTTGTTCAGTTGTGACTTTTTGATGATTTTGTCTGGGTCTGTTCTTGAGAGTTTCTAGTTCCAAGTACCTTTTATATGTGTTCGATACACCCTGGGTATCGCTTACTACCTCTGTTACGTCTCATTGGGACATTCCTTGTTCAATGAGACCAATAATAAGGCATTTTGTTGTTTATTTGGACCGAAATAAAATTACCGGAGGATCGTGATTTGACTTCTGAACACAAAATTCACAAAAAATTAAATCGCAGCAGTCGTTTCTTCTTTATTTTCATGTTTGATTAGAACAAAAAGCCTTATCTTAAAGTTGAATAACAAATTTTTTTCTTACAAAAAGTTTGTTCAGAAATACACAGTGATTCCATATAAGTTTGGTTGTGTGTATTTCATTTATTCTATCGTCTTTATTTAACGTCTGTAAAAAACATATTCGGACTTAATACATGCTTTTTACTTGTACATGATAAAGGGTTTTCTTCCAATAAAATATGAACCTACTGGTTGATTTGCAATCAAAACCATCGCTCGTCCAATCAGAGTCAATCAGAGATAACAGGAGTCAATGTAACTTGAAATTACTTGTTTCTTTCAGGTATTTCATCATTCTTTTAACAAGGTCCCAATTAATTTGTCTTTGGTTATACTTATTCTTCTCGTTAAATAGTTTACTGCTGTTGCAGGTCTAGTCATGGTTCATGGTGGATGAGTATAAAAGTACTACTCGTTATTTAGTAGCAAATTCAGTTCCTCTATTATTTTGTAATAATCCGGATTCATTGGAGTATATACTTGTTAGCATCTCTTATAAATTTAAGTCCTCAATTAGTGCTTATATTTTCTTTTCTTGATTATGCAAGCAACTACCATATTTCTCACGTTCAATTCTGATTAAAAAAAAAGCCTATTATAACCTAGATTCTTTACATGAAAATGGTTGTTCAATTTTTCTCCTAGTAGACAGAGACATACTTTTTTGGCAGATCAGAATGTCTACATAGATAAGACTGTAGAAATAGTAATCTTCTTCCTTTTCTTACAAATAAACATGGACTATTGCAACATTGCTTGAAATCAAGTTCATGGATAGTTTCTTTCAATTTCTGTTTCCTGGATCTGGCAACCTGCTTCAAGCCACAAACAGATTTTTGTGAGTGTCTTAAACATAGCTTTGTGAAAGCCGTTTTTTACTTCATTGTTTCTTATTGTTAATTAGAGTAAGAATTTTAAAGCTGCATTGTTACATTACAATTAGTTATTGTAAATAATGTTTATAAAAACGAGTCCTCTACAAGTGCAATCTGTACATTAAAGTTTTTATTAATTTGGATTGTTTATATTTTTTAACATTTTTCTATGGCCTGAATTTCTGCTTGGAAAATGCTTGGATACTTCAGAGTACTGATTCCAGGCCCATACACTCCTATTCCAGTTCCTTCTATGCGTTTGGGACCTTCGGTAGGTAATGCTTGTCTGTTATCTGTATAGATGAGCATTTTCCTTTCAGTGATATTGTTTCTGGTATCTTCTTTTGCTGCTGTGAGAATCCTCTTGAGCTTGGTTTGATCTACACTAGTACTATTCCTCATAGCCTATTTTTTATTTGGGTTTAAGAATCTGGAGTATATTGTTTTGTTTTAGAACTGTCTGTGTACTGTTTTTTGGGCTCTCAGAACCCAAACAACTGCACCGTATGTTATCAAAGATCATTCTCCATTTTGTTCTTTTTTTTTACATTCACTACCATTGAATGTAGATGTTTATGAACAGGAAGAAGTGTTTAAAATATTGTGATCAAATCCGTTCATTTTTTTTGTTTCGCTATCTTTTGTGGGTTTAGTACATATAGGCTTACAATTATTGAGCTCCACAAACCTTCATACAAACATCAAGGAATATGAAACAAATACTTTCGTAACATTATATTTCATTTTTCTAACACATAACCATTTCTATAAGCCACAAATCCTTTTAGGTATGGAAATGTTTATTTACAATCAATAGTGTGTGTTACGCTTATTGAAATTATTAATGTATGCTTTTTTAGAAAAAGTAGGTCAGCAACAATAAATGTTTTCCTATTCCGATCCAAAACCAATAAAGTTTGAGTCACCTTCCGTACACATCAGCACGACCAGACATTATAGCACACAAACTAGGTATATCCGATGATATAACCGAATAAAATATCAATAAAATTTGAATATAAATTGGGGTCTTCTCGGATTTTTCAACCGTTGACCTTGGTATAGTAATCACACCTGTTTCTTCGGTTTTACACCAGTTTACAGAGCCACGTTATCTCAAGGTAATTTTGAAAATAATTTAGATAACTAATGGCTTTAATGGTAATGAGCTGTTAAAATTATGTAAAGAGAGTCATTGCACTTGATATTATCAAGAGAAAAAGTTTGATGTTAACCAAATAATCTTTTTATACATGTCTTTTATATATTTCTATAAAATTTCATCATATTAATGAAAATAAAATAGAAATATTTGTTGTTTATAATAATAGTAATAATATTCTTTATTTTAATAGGGGAATATAAGATTCCATGGACAAAGTTTAATGCCAATTATAATAATTATTTATGAAGACGTTACTATCTACTAAACAATATACAAAATCTGATTAAAATTAAAATTGTTAAAATATAAAAAACAAACCTATAGAAACGAGTGATCCACGAATGTCGAGAGCACAATTAGGCATTCTAACGACCTGTTAAACAATAGTTGCCCGTGGGAAGGGCTTGTAAATCTAAGGGGCTTGCGACATAGCCTTCCATCTTGGACGCTGTTTTTATTTGGAATAGTGGTTGCTTAACCTGCCAATGAAAATACACTCTACTCCGTCCATTATTTATGGAATAATTAAAAATGAACCTAAATTTTAAACTGCCATATATTTGTTAAAAATGCATGTATTTCACCGCGGGTTTTGGAGTTGGATAGCTTTTTTCTTCGTCTCTTAGAAGCAGAGCCTTTATTTTGCCATTTGCCAATAATATACAGGGCATTTTACAAAGAATTTTAATTTGGGATTTGGGAAGTATGAGCGTGTAAAAATTTTTTAGACAGTTGGTTACAGCTTTCCTTTGAGTAGCTCCTGTATTAGTTTCATCTCAGTGCCGTGCGTCATAAATAAAAAATAGGACCTTTCAAAAATCTTTTTTTGGACAAAAACACTAATTTTTAGTGCTTTTTTGCCATAAGGACTTTTAATTATTAAGGATGGTAAAGCTATAGTTAATGTAAGTCATTTATATAAGGTGGTTCAAAAGTACTCAAGCTTAAATTTAAAGATTTTTATAATTTGTTTTATTGGGGATAAAAAACAAAGAAAAAGCTACCAATCTTAAAAACCTGTTAAGCTTTAACCTCGCCTTATATCAATACTGTACATTATGCCATAACACCATAACACAAAAATAGCAATAATGCGTACATACAAACAATACTTGCACCATTGGTTTTTAAAGTTAAGTTGGCTTTGAGATGGTTGATGTTTTTTTACTTTGACGTAATTTAGTGAGAGTGACAGTATAGTCATTTTAGTTTTCTGTTAAGTATATACCTATTGATTAGTCAGGTTTTCATTTGCCTACGGTTTTAAAATTATGAATAATAACCGCTTTATTACCCCAGAAGA